TTAACAGGACGCTGATTCCCAGAACACATTTCAAACATAAGCATGAGAGAAAAAGCTATGGCCCAGACCATTAGAACCCTGTGACCTCCGACCCTGGGAACAGGCCTAAAAGTCAACAACAGTAAGTTCAAATCCCACTTTGACCACAGACTTGCTAAGTGATTGTCACTGCTCTTCTGCTGCTCCATTTCATCAAGTGCACACCAAGTTTCCATCGTTTATCCCAACTGTGCTCCTTTGGATACAGGCGAGACATGCAGAACTTTAAAATTCTGTTATGGACACTAGACCTCAAATTACTCTTTACTTAAAGGTAATCCTCAACAAAATCCAAACTAATTTTTTTCTTTTGGGGTGTGGTAGTGGGGATACAACAAAATGTTTCTAGAAAATATTTGAAGAAAAACCTCAAAATACCATAAATTTCTCCAAAAGCTGAACAATAAGTTGGCCTAGCAGAGGGGATATACATAAAAATACTATTTGAAGAGAAGAAGGAACTCAATTCAAATACTACAATTTCAAGACAATTAGTATTACAGAATTGAGCATCTTACCTATTTCATTTACAGTACATTTATTCAAGTATCTAAAACAAACACAAAATATTTTTTTAAACCTAAAACAGAATTCTTAATACTTTGAGCTACGCTTTACAAAGATATTTTTAACAGAAGGGCATGACACTCAGAATCTTTTCTTTCAGAAAACTGTTACTTCTGGGTCTTGAAGAGAGAAAGCACACTGTGAAAACAGAGAACAGATGTTTGAGAGAATGTGGTCGGTTCAGATCAGTTCTATATTCCAGCCCAGGTTCACCAACAGACTGTGTGACCCTGGTCAAGTAACTGTACCACAGTATACTTTTCAGCAGTCAAAAAAATAAGCAAGTATAAAAATTTTATTTATCTAGAATCCTTATAGGAATTGCTTTAGGAAACCTCGGAGGAAGAAAAATAATAAAAGTACAGCTACTGCCAACTGCAGAAAAAGAAATGTTGAAGACGAGTCTGGAAAAGGCCAGAGCAAGTGGAGAAATCAGAACGGAACACGCGAGACAGAACAACAATCCTCGTGGAAACAGTGAAGCCTCATGGATCCTAATCCCACCAGCTCGTGAGTTTACAGCTGCAGTCAACACGCACCACTTACTTACTGGGACTGAGTGCCAAAAGTGACCGCTGTGGCTAAGTGTCCTTTGCAAAATGAAATAGTAAGTCATTTCATCCTTACAATATGATAAAAGAGCTTCTCTTACTATTTGTTTTAAAACAAGGAAACTGAGGCACAGAGAGATTAGCTGGCCAGTGTGAAATCACACAGCTAGAAATAACAGAGCCATGCTCTGAACCAATGTACTGTACTGACAGGTGGTGCTGGACCTAAAAAATATTAACCAAAAAATGGTGAACATGGCACCAGTGGGCATGCAGATGGGGCTTTTTTTTTTTAACTCATGTTTATTGTTGAATGTATTACAGATGTCCCCCCTTTTTTCCCCATTGATCCCCTCTTCCCCAATCCCACCCTTCTCCTGCCTTCCTCACTATTGTGGGTGTCCATTCGTTATGCATATAAGTTCTTTGGTTTATCTCATCCCGCCCTCCCTCCCCCTTTCCCTTTGAGGTTCATCAGTCTAATAACCAATCTGTACTTAATTCCTTCATCTTTTTCACCCATCCCTGCTTTAAGAGGCTAAGGACCAAGAGGTTAAGAGTACAGGCATAAACTATAGCAAACGTGCCAATCCAAGGATGAGCCAGTCACACAACACATGCTATATATACATTTAGAAGAGGGCTCCAGGATCTAACTGCCTAAGAGAACTCAAAGTGACATGAAATTTTTAGAACACAAATTTCACTGCACATTTTATGGTGCTGGAGAGAACGTGGAAAGCCCCACATGGGCAGAGATGTCAGCAATGCAAAAGGAGCAAGTGCCACATGCCACACGCCGTGTGGGAAGCGCTGCAGGGTTTCTTTACACGTTTTATCTGTCTCACTGGAGTCTCAGAACACAGTCAATATTGTCACGCCCATTCTAAAAAGACCAAAATTAAGCCTTGAGAACATTACCTCATCTGTTGAAGGCCAAGCTGGCAATTAGTACATTTCTGGTAAAAACTAGAGAAATTGTGGAACACACTAAAGGAAATTAGTAGTATGGATATTTAACAAGCGTGGATCAAATTCAATACTGCAGAGCTCAAAGCACAATTTTCCCCCTCAAGACCAGACTGCCAGTCACTCTCAGGACTGTGGATGGGGAAAGAAATGACAGGAATGTGGTCGAGTTGCCCATGCTGCCTGGGATGCCTGTCACCCACCCCCAATCCCTCTCCCTGCTTCTACACGTGTGGTCAGAGAACTGTTCAGAGATCGACTGTCCATTCGGCACAAAGGGAATCTGTGGGCACAAAATGAGGCATGGACATTCATTTAACAACTGTGAACACATGCTACACACAAAATAGAGGCAACACCAACTCCCCTAACACTGGAAGGGAATGGTTGTGCATAATCAAAACAGAATTACTCTGGAGCCCTTGGTTTTCATGTTTTAACAGTAAGAAAGAAAAGACACATGGATGAAATTTTATCTCCTGACAGGCAGGTAAGATGGGATGCTCTGATAAAAAGAAAACATATTAAATAGAAAATACAGAAAAGGGCATTTGGTTGTATAGATGGGACAGGTTGGGAAGAAGTGATCAATGACCAACAAACAGCCCACAATGGGAAGGACAGAGGTGCCCATACCCCCCTCTCCAGCCTCCACTTGCAGACCCAGGGCAAGGGGAGCAGTTGGGGCTTTCTCCTGAGGTTTATTCCACATTCTGAAGTAATTGAAGAGGAACGTGGGATGTTTGGAGACTGGGGTCATTTCACAAGAAAGCAATAAAGGGAACATCTAATTTGCTTTTAGGCTGCCCAGCCCAGATAATCAAAAGGGAGGGGGAGGGAAAAGGAGCAAGTGATTCAGAGCAGAACTTTTGCACAGAAATAAAGACTGTGCATGTGACCTCTATTTCCCTGCGCTGCAGGAACCAGCACACGGTGGACTATGAGAGGGATAGAAACTAGTGTCATGTGATGCTGTGAGGACCAAGAACTTTGCTAGTAACAGAATGCTGGGCAAGACTAACATCTTAACATCTGTAAGGTTCAGCTACCAAATACATCAAATGGAAAGATGATTACAAGCTTCAAATACAAGTAAAAACTTTATGGCTAAAAGGGTAGGGGAAGAAAGAAAAATAAAGAATTATGATTCTGATCATAAAGAATTAAATTTGAAGTCTGTATCTATTAAACAAATGAGATTGAATATAGACATGTTTATGGCTTTTAGTAATGAATTAAGTGTGAACATCTATCTTTTATTTAAAAAACTAATACATAGCCCAGCCGGTGTGGCTCACTGGTTGAGCATAGACCCATGCACCAAGAGGTCCCCAATTTGATTCCTGGTCAGGGCACATGACCAGGTTGTGGGCCAAACCCCCAGTGGGGGACTGTGAGAGGTGGCCAATAGATGTTCTCTCTCATCGATGTTTGTATCTCTCTCTCTCCCTTCCTCTCACTCTAAAATCAACAAAGAAAAATATTTTTTAATAAAAAACTAATACATAAATGCACATTGAAAACAAATAATTATCCTAAGAAAGAGAATTTAAAAACTAAAAGGAAGCACACAGATCATCTAGTCTGAGCTTTGAAGGTAACTTTAACAGAAACCCTGTTTTTCAAGCAAAATACATAAAATAGCTGCTGAGGGTCTACTTGCTTTGCCCCTCCTTTACAAAGCTCCAAGAAAATGCTATAGTTCTTCTATGGAACAGTTAGTAAAACCACAGGTGGCGGGCAACTCCCATTTTCTAAAAATGAGGAGAATAAGGCCAAGAGGTAAAGCTGGGCAAAAGAAAAGCAGTCAGGTCTAGAACTCAATTTTCTTGACTTAGTGCAGCATTCTCTCCATTATGTCCTTTACTCCTATTTTCCTTCCTTTTTTTTTCTTAAGAAAAAGAGCATGAGGGGTTCTCTCTTTGACTTTGTAAATAATTCTACTCACTCTCTTCTTTCAAATCTACTTCCTTCTCAAGAGCATTCAACTCTAATCTTTCTGGATACAGGTAGCTGATAATAGTGAATCAGAAAGAATATGGTGAAAGAGAAAAATGCGAAGTCAGCTATCCCAAGTTTATCCTGTTCAGGTTTAACTAAAGGGAACACATTAGGGGATGGTGTTGAGACTACAAACTGTGGTGTGGGTGGAATCTCAGTCTCCCTGTGATTGCTTTTAAATGTTAAGGTCAAAATTACTTCCAAAGCCATCATAGAATACTAGCTAGAACAGGTTAGACTTGAATGTTCAACAACTGGTCTCATTCTGCAAAAAGCCCTTTCATTCACAAAATGTTGTATTGTTGGAAAATGGAACCTAAAGAAATGAACAAACAATAACTTTTAACTTCAGGCCCCAGAAGAAAAATGCTACTGATTCTCATATTTCTTATCAGAAATCAGTATTAAATATAACAAAATCATTGCAAGCAATTCTATAGGCAAACTCTCAATAACTCCTCCTCCACAAGAAAATTAAAACTGCTTTTAAGTGCATAGGCTTTCAAAAATGTTGGAAAGTGCATTGCTCTCATTTGGGGGTGGGGGTAGGGTGTTCCAAATATAACACTAAGAAGTGAGGTGTGGCCCCTGCATAATCGTTAAGCCATTAACAACAGGTAGCTCCTAGCACCGCTGAGCGCTGGGCAGAGATTCAGAAGTTTGTCTCCAGAAAGTCCCTCTTGAATGCACCGAGCTCAGGCTCTGTCTTTTCTTCCTTTACATGGTGCGATCCTAAGCCTAATTTTCGGAGTTTAGGTTTGCTTCCTTGTCTTTCCCCAAATCACACTCTGATGTGCCTCCTCCGGGAAGCCAGTGACCAGGGAACTTGAGCAAAGGGCGACAAGGACAAGGCGGTGAGGCTGCAAGGCTGACCTCGGGCTGCTCTGTGGCTCCTCGGGCCGACACTGACCTTAGGAGCCCGCGACGCGCCCCGCTCCACCGAACTTTCTTGGAAACACTCTAGGAAGCTCGGCTTTTCCTACCAGAACCTGGCTACACAGGCTTCCGGAACTCGCAGGCTTCCGGGGCGACGCATGACCCGGAAGTGTCTAAAAAAACGGGAAAATTAAACCAACGAGAACAGCGCTTTGGCGCCAGGCGGAAGGCCGGGAAAGGCCCAGCAACAGCGAACGCCGGCGAGCCGAAGGGTCGAAGGGCCGAAGGGCCGAAGAGCCGAAGGGCCGAAGGGCCGAAGAGCCGAAGAATGCACCGCGCGCGGTGATTGGTCGGCGGGCCGTTTGGAGGAAAACCGTATTTGATTGGCAGGAGAGTCGCGAACCCGTCAGCCTGGGTCGGGGCCGCGCGTGAAGAGGTCCCGGGGTCATGGGGCGGCGGCGGAGCAGGGTTTCTCGGGGGCAGGGCTTTCCCTGACTTCGGCCGCGGCGGCCGCGGGACAAGCGCCGCGGGGTGGCGGCGCGGCGCCTCTGCATCCCCGGGCCCTGCGCTCTCTCGCCCTGGGTGGAGGGCCCGTTGCAGGGTAGCCTCGTGGGGAGGGGCCCAGCGTGGGCGGCAGCTGGCGGGCGGGGGCGCGGGGCCGAGGGTGGGGGCTTGCTGCCCCTGCGGGCTCAGGAAGGCTGGTGGCCGAGGCCCTGCGGGGCGGGCTGGAGGCGCTCGCGCCGTCGGGGCGCTGAGATTGGCCGCCGGGTGGGTCCGAATCACCCCCGAGCTCTTGGAAACACCGACACAGTCTTCCCCCTCTGGGAAACGGAGGCAGGGTTTCTGGGCGGGGGCCCGTGGGAGGCCTGTTCTGAGCGCCCCCAGCCTGCCTCCCCATTCCACGGTGCGGGTGGCAGTGCCCACCCGGGGGTGCTCCGAGGTTTGAGTCAGCAGGTAGAGCAGCCCGCACAGCAGGTAGAGCAGCCCGCACGAAGGGGTCTGCACAACGTTTTAGTTCTTGCCGCACTCCCCCAACCGCCGGCCTGCCACAGCTGTACTGTTAGAAGAGCAGGTCCTGTGTAACGAGAGATCTTTTTGTTTTGTTTTTGTAATTGTGGAACAGAGTTGTTACTCAGTATGAGACATGGGCAAGATAAACGAACATTTATTAGTGAACTCCAATACTGTTCAAGTTCTTTTTTACATCAAAGGTGTGCAGTTTAACACTACTCATGCCTGGAATTTTGTTGTCTTCCACACATTAAGGAGAGCTTGAGAAAAACAGGCCTGGAGGGGGAGGACGGCTGCTTGAATTAGTGAAAGTCCTTCCCATCACGTGAACCGAGAGTACAAATGAGGTGGAGTGGGAGCGACCGGTGGGCAGTTGTGCAGTGAACTTAGGCAGGGGGTGGGGGTCCCTGGAGTTAGCCATCATAGCAGCCGCTGGCCGCCTGCATTGTGGCCAGTCCAGATCGAGGTCTGATCTAAGTGTAAAATGTGCCCTGGATGTCTAAGTTACAGTACGAAAAGAAAAGAGTGTAAACTCTGGCATTTTGTATTGATAACACGTTGAAATGAGAATGTTTTGGAAAGTTTAAAATCACATATGTGGCTTATATTTCTGTGGGATAGGGCTGTTCTAGAGGGGAAGAAAATCTAGTCTACAGCTTCTATGTTACCTTCTAGATACAGCCATGCACTGCATAAATGAGGACACGTTCTGAGAAATACATCATTATGAGAGTCTGTCATTGTGTGAACACCATAGAGTGCATGTATGCAAACCTAAGCGGGACAGCCTACTACACGCCCAGGCTCCTTGGTGTAGCCTATTGGTGCTGGGCTACAAGCCTTTCCAGCACAGGTGAAATCAACTGCAAGAGACAGTGGTGCAGTCAAGACACTCGGTAAACACTAGATGTGTGGGGCCACTGCCAGCAGAGCTCGGCTACAGTTCAATAGCAAACATATTTCTAATAAGTAGAAAGTGTACACTCTAAAACAGTGTTAGAAAGTATAGTAGAGTAAATATATAAACCAGTGCCAGGGTTATTTATTATTATCCAGTAATACGTACTGCACATAATTATATGTGCTGTGCTTTTACATGACTGTCAGTGCAGTGGGTGTGTTTACACCAGCCTCACCACAAACACGTGGGTAATGTGTTGTACTACCTATCACTAGGTGATAGGAAAGTTTTAGCTCATAATCCTTTGGGACCACTGTCTTATATGCAGTCTGTCATTGAACAAAACGTTCTTATGCAGCACATGACTAACCTCTCACCTTCTAGGGTCAGAAGACTGAGTCTCACTTAACAGTCAGGAAGGCAGCCATGTCACACTTAGCCTCCAGGTGTGTGGTGTTTCAATTAATTTTTATGAAAGGGGGAAAAAAGACCTCTAAAAGACAAACCTTTTCAGAAAGCAAGTTCTAGTTCATGGAGCCCTATGTATATCAAATGAACATGACACTATCTACTGATAAAAATAAAGATACCAAGCTATCCCAAAATTTGAATTATGTTTAATGAATCTGATTAAGAATATTGAAATAGCTCTGGCTGGTAGCTCAGTTGCTTAAAGTGTTGTCCCGATATGCGAAGGTTTCGGGATCTATCCCTGGTCAGGACATGCAAGAATCAACCAATGAATGCATAACTAAGTGGAACAACAAATCAGTGTTTCTCTCAAGTCAATAAATAAAAATTTAAAGAAATAATGAAACATGTAGAATATTAAGGTTTTTGTTAAAAATGTTTCAGATAAATTCTGGTTTTTATCATTTAATCTCTAAATACAGAACACCTTTTCAGATTTCTAGTAACCTAGAAGGCTGAGGTTTCAGGGAAGTGGCGTTTCCTGTTTTCTGACCTTGCTTTATATTTATTTTTTATTCATTTATTTAACAAAAAAGCTGCTCAGGGCCAGGAATATTGCTAGACAGTGTTGATATAAAGGTGGATTACAAGACATGGACAGCCCTTTCTCAGAGCTAATGAGTATCAGTTTGGAGACAGTGAAGAAGTAGATAATGACCAAGGCATAGTGTATTTTGCCCTTGATTAAGTGCTGTACCTCTGTAAATTCAACGTTCATTGTTTTAAACCTAGAATTTATATATTCCTGCCAACGTCAACATGTTACGAGTCATTACGATTTGGCTGTGAACTTAAAAAGTATTAATGAAAAATCAAAGTATACTTAATACATGCATTAATTATGAGAACCTAAAGAATAAAAAACTTAGAATATTTCTTTACTTTTAAATAGAAAAAGATGAAGAAATTATAATAGTATCTTACTTATAATACCCTCTTTTAGCCCTTCAGCAACTTTAGGTTCTCTGGAATTTAATAATAGATATGGAAAGGAGACATTGATTTATGCCCCTGACATCGTTGAAAATTGCTGACTTTAAAAGTTAAATTTATTTTAACATATTACATAGTTCTTAAATCAATATATTTGAGTCTCTTAGGAAAAAGTTAAACAGGTCTTTAATTAGTTTACTACTGCTGCTGCTAACCAATGACCACAAAGTTGGCCCCTCAAAACAACACCCATGTTTTATCTTTCAGTCAGAAGTTCCACTCGGGTCTCACTGGGCTAACATCAAAGTGTCTTCAGGTCTGTGTTCCTTCTAGAGGATCTAGGGATTAGGAATATTTTTGTATTAAAAAAGTGATTCTTGAGTCTTTTGACTAGTTGTTTAAATAAACTACATCTTAGTTTAAGCTTGACAATAGAACTATTATAGAGATAATGTTCTGGTGAACTTGAAGCGTAGGGATTCGATCATATGGAGTACATGAAAATCAGAAATTTAGTTCCAGTGACATGTAAAAGAAAAATAGGGAGACACAGAGAACGTTTTGTGTGGTTCAGTTTCTTAACTCATTCAAAATATGTTCAGCCCTGGGCAGTTTTGCTCAGTGGTTAGTGTGTCAGCCCAAGGACTGAAAGGGTTGCAGTTTCGGTTCCCGGTCAAGGGCATGTACCTGGGTTACAGGTTCGATCCCTGGCCCCAATCCTGGTTGTGCAGGAGTCAACCAATCGATGTGTCTCTTTCACATCGATGTTTATCCCTCTTTCTTTCTCTCCCTGCCTTCCGCTCTACCTAAAAATCAGTGGAAAAGTATCCTCGGGTGAGGATTAACAATATTGATATAAATAAAATGTGTTCAGTTTATCTTTAGTTTCAGTAAAACTACATGATTATCAAAATTTACAAGCCTTTTTGTTTCCTTCTAAAAACAATACTAATAGTGGTTACAGTCAAAGCACAGTCAGTATTTCACTAAAAAACAGAACACGTAGAAATAAAGAAAAAAAAAAAATCATTGTGATTGTGTTTTCAGTTACCTTGGAAGTAGACCTTCAAAACAGTACTATGGAAAGAAGTCATACGAAGCAGGGCTTAAAATATTATCCTCTCTTTTTCTCAAACCATCATTCAAATTCACTAGATGAAAATTTAATTTTGTAAGACGCCTGCACTGTTCAAATTTGTTTATGGCATGAGCTTTCAGTTTAGACAATTTATCATTACTTGGAGAGGAACTTTTTCTCTTAAGCCAGATCGGCTTTCCTTTCTAGGGAATAGACGAATCCAGGAAAAATGTTTCCATAGCTCATGCCTGGCCAGAAGCAGTGGTCGTGGAGGAATGGCGAGCTCAATGAATAATGACAAAGGAAAATACGTAACCTCTTTTCCCTTGGTCCCTCTGTGCGCTTGACATGTCTCAAAACTCTCCAGTCCAGAGAGTGAAGCAGTTTACCTTTTGATGCTTAAATTTAGGAGTTGAACCTATGCTTCATAAGAGTAGAAAGCAGGTGATTGCAAATGTGAAATACATACAGAGGCCTGACTCAGATTTGTCTCCGACGGTGTGGGACCTTTGGAAGGTCTCTCTTAACTGTCATGAGTCCCAGTTTCTCAGTCTCTCAGCTTTTGACATTCCTCTAAGATTTCCTTTTGGTTTTAGTGGATTGGGATTCTAAAGGCCAATTTTGTGTTACTGGTTTGTTGTTGTTGTTGTTGTTTTTTATCCTTACTGGAGGAGGGAGAGAGGGAAGAAGAGAGAGAGAGAATCATCTATGTGAGAGAGATACATCGAGCGGTCACCACCCACACAACCCT